ACCGCACTCACTCTCTCTCTCTCTCTCTCTAAAAATCCCCACAACTAACTCTCTCTCTCTCTCTCTCTCTAAAAGCCATAAGATCCCCTTCCTCATCCACAAGCTAAGTTGCGGAGGAGGACAAGGCGTTGGTTAGTTGGCGACCGCATTTTAAAAGAAGCCGTACAAATATCCCAACCCCACCAACCCCTCAACAGCCTACGTGGATCTCCTCTTCAACACAATTAAAACCACCCCTCTCTCCCTCTCTCTCTCTCTCTTTCTTCGTCTCCAATTCTGTCAATCGATTTTCATTGTAGAATTTGGACAAGTTTTTTTTTTTTTCCTCTTTTATGGATAATTGATAATTCCCGTCAATATCGCTTTATCCTGTTTCCTTGCTAAAATCACTCACGTTTACACCAATGCTTCCAAAAGAACGCACACCACTTGCATTGACAAGATGCAACTTTCCTCAAAGAATTGGACACTAAATTACCGTGTACTCGTCCGCACCTTCGTATGGCTGGAAATGGACCCGTGGTGTGATGGATTTAGTATCTGAAACAGTGTAGGAAAATTCGCGAGATTCAAATCGGAACCGCCCAATTAGATTGAGGTTTCGGCTTGGTTTTGATTAACTGGCCGGGTATTTAAAAAAAAACTTATATAAAATCTCAAAAAATAAGGGATGTTTTTTGTAATACATTTTTTTTAATGTTTCATCATTTTGATAAAGATTGGAAATGTTTTTGGTCATTAATATTTGTTTTTATATTTTCACATCTTTTTAAAAAAAATTCAAAATACCATTGAACACAAATGGATTATTTAAAATCCATTTTTTCATTCATTTTGAGGATGTGCTTTGTTTAATCATACTTTAAATATACTTTTTATATTTTATTTTATATATATGTATATAATAATAATTTAATGGGGGATAAATTCAGTATAAAAGCTTAGAAGAGGGGGATTTTGAGAAATTCAAAATTTTAAAATTGGGATAACTTCAGTATAAATTTCTCAAAATCTAAACTTTGGGTTCAATTTTGAGAAATTTACTTCATTGTGAGGCTCTGCAGCTTCATTCTTCAATTTAATGGGACGATAACTTCAGTATAAAAGCTTAGAAAAATCTTTACGACTTCAATTTGGATATTTGGAAATCAGAATGGAAGAGGTAGGGGTTTAAAAAGAGGCCGATATAAAAATCAGCCTTAAGAGAATCCTCTGTTTATAAAAGTCTGCAATTTTTCAGAATACCTGTCATCAAGTACTTACTCTAAATTAATCCGAGATCCAGAAAGGGATATCTGAAGTATTAAAAATAAAGAGCAAGGAGGTTACACACATAAATAACCTTAAAACCTTCGAAGAAGGGCCAACAGCAAGTGCAGAAAAGCCTAAGGCAATATTCAGTTTAGGAAGGGGATCCTAAGGTCCTTTCATAGCTCAAAACAGAGAAGGGAACATATGGTTCCTTCTACTTGCTTAACATTTAAACTGGGCTTCAAGACTCCACATTAACCATGAGATGAACTGATCCAATTCAAAACACATGTGAAAGACTTCGCATAATCATACTCTACGTATTGTCCTTCCTAAACCTGGTAATAAGGGTGAAGACCTTAAACTTTCCCTTAACCTCTTTATTCTCTCGATCAGATCAGTCGATACTCATTATAATGGATTGCTCCAGCTTTCCAAACAAAATAAGTCGTCCCGAACATGAGAGTGTTGATGAAAACAAATTGATCGGTGCCCCCAGGAAGTTCACAAGTGAGGCCTTCTTTTGGTAACCCATGCTGGCTATCGTCAAATAAGTCTGTTGCGGCTTCAGGCAGGCCAGACCTCGACTTTCCTTCTCCGCCTCTAAAACCTTACTCCCCATCTCTGGTCTTTTTGAAGGCTTTGTTTCATTATATCTAGTGAGGACCCGAGCAGCCCTCGAGCTGTGAGGGACGATCTCTTTGTCATAGGTTTTCTATCCGAAGGCGGTGATTTATACGACTTTGCAACTGGATCCTCCTGTAAAGTATCAGTGTTTGACTTGGTTGCAGATACAGAACCACCCCAATTAATCATTGGAGGGTTGGGATTTGTTTTAGAGGCAGGAGTAAATGGGCTCGGAATGTTGACTTTTTAGAAGGCATTACTCTTACCAACTGGTCTTGCATGGTTTTCAGACTCCATGTTAACACGGTCTGTTGCAATTCCCTCACCATCTGAAACCGAGAGGCTCCTACCCCATCTCTGATTCCTTTGAAGCCTACTTGGCAGAATAAAAATACCTAATGGACTCACACCATGGTTCAGACTACAACAAGTGGTTTTCCTCAAAATTGAGGAACAATCATCCACAGAAGATTTAGTTGCATGTGGGAGCCTTATCTGCAACTGAGATTGATAAGATAATCAGTCTATCATTTACTTTCTAATTATCCAGTTAATTAATCATCCATTGCATAAATTTCACAGTCAAATCCAGTTACTTAGCAAACACAGTTTCTTAACCAGTTCATATTGCAATCACATTAAGGGTTCACAGATAAAAAGAACCAAAAACCCCAAATATTGATAAAAATTATACCATAACTCAAAAAACTCAAAGCAATTAATAAAATACAGGGTAGGTCAAGTAAATTCTTGATATCCACGTAAAATTGTGAAATATTCACTTCAATTATTCATCATCCAAAACTTATCCCAATGATTTGGGGTTGGTTACATGAAAGTAAAATAAGTAATAGTGATCTTCTACGCATAATAAGTTAAGATGAAATATAAACTACATGTCAATATTGTTCCAAGAAGTCATTCGATTTCCATATATTTTCAACCTATTTTGCATCAGTACTCATGCACACATAATCAATGTTTTGAATCTTGGCAAACCAACTAGGGACTCTCCAAAGTTGAATTAGCTCTAGTCTAGATTTCTCCAATGTAAACAATTAGGACCCAGAGGTCAAGGTCCCTTACTAACCGGACCCTCCTGGGCATGACCGGTCCTAAAATACTATAGACCCGCCCATATTCCCTCAGGACTCTTTCAGTCCATTAAAATCACCAAAGGGATCTGGTTTCAATCTAAATATTCCAAGTCTCCTGATCGATTGGGCGAAACTCCTGTCTAATCAATTTATCATTGTTTTCTCCACTTGTATGATTTCCCACAAGGGTGTTCCGGTCAACTGTCGGCTAAGTATACCATACACACATCAGGGATCGACCCTCACACTGTATCCCATAGAAAAGTAGCACCCTGTTCCATTTCAACTCTGGGCCACCTAGGGTTTTGACACCATCAAGGACGTAGATCCAATCAAGCATTGCCCATTGCCCTTTCGCACTTGAAAAGATTCAAGTTTCGATCGAGCCATGACATTTACAAGCACATATGGACTCCCTTTGAATTTTCTGAAATCTGAAATCAAATGCATTACTTCAATCTATGATATCCGTATCCCTTCCCATGGTTAGAAGCACATTGAATTCTTATCCATTATAATAAAAAGAGATGAGGATAAGAATTCAAGATTGTAATAAAAAGATATGAGGATAAGAATTCAATATTGTAATAAAGAGAGAGAATTCGATTTTCCTAAATAAAAAGCGATAGTTCATTAATTTCCAAACAAAGATACGAGGATAAGATTAAATCTTGTAACAAAAAGAGAGAATCAGATTTTCCTAAATAAAAAGCCAAAAGTAGAAATATATTTCCTTTATTCAGGAGGTAAGGGCATAACTGTAAATTAAAAGTTCGACCGTTTTGTTAGTTTCTTGCTCATTCATGCCTTCACCGTATTTCTTTTTAATTACCTGTTAACTATTATTGCAAGTTTGCGCTATTTTAGCGGATATCTATCCCCAGAACCTATGTATAAAAGTAGAGATCACGAATTGTCTCCAAATTTCAGAGGGTTCTCATCTCTGTTACAATTAGAGAAGGAGAAGCCACCCACCCTGTGGAATTTCAGAGGTGCTACAATTAGAAAAGGAGAACCCACCCACCCTGTGCTTTAGATTTTATTTAGAACTCAAGCTCGTTACTAGATCAAGGTCACCATAACCGAAGCTTTTCGAACTTTTTACCAGAGCAAAAATGGCGGCTCCTCTTCCAATTAAACACTGGATTAGACTGAAAACTATAGGGGAAGGTTCTTATGGAGCCGTGAGTGTGGCTCGAAATCTCGAAGACGGAGGATTGTTTGCAGTGAAGTCTGCAACCTGCAAGGATGAAGAGTTCCTGGAATGTCTAGAGAGAGAAATTGATATTCTCAAGAAACTAGATTCGCCTTTTGTTGTTAGATACCTTGGCCAAGACAGAGACGGAGAAGGAAAGGTGAACTTATTCATGGAGTATATGGAGGGCGGAGATTTGTGTTCGCTTTCGATGAGAAGCAAGGGGTTGCCGGAGATGGCTATTAAAACTTACACAGCCGCCATTCTGAGAGGCCTGGAATACCTTCACGAAAAGGGAATTATTCACTGTGACGTTAAAGGAAGGAATGTCCTCTTGGGGTTGTCAGGCGAAGTCAAACTCGCCGATTTTGGCGCTGCAAAGATGGTTTCGAGCGAGCTTCCTGCTATTCACGCTGGTACTTTGAGGTGGATGGCGCCTGAGATTTTAGAAAGGAGGGAACAGGGCACGGCATCTGATATATGGTCTCTTGGTTGTACGCTCGTGGAGATGGCCACAGGGAAGGTGCCGAAATTACCAGAAAAATTCTCCGGAATTTCAGATTCCGGCCTTGATTTTCTTGACAAGTGTTTCATGCCAGAGCCATCACAAAGGTGGACGGCTTCTCAGTTGCTTCACCACCCCTTTTTGGCTTCTACATCCTCCAACCAAATCTTGTGTTCCCCAAGGACTGTCCTAAGCGAATCATCGGAATTTAATTTTCCAGGCGGCCTTAACCAGAATTCCGGCATTCTCAACCCAAATCAGAGAATTAAAACCTTCTCAATTTGCCAAGGCCTCGACGAAAAACAGTGGACTGAAACCTCGACAACTTGTAATGGTTTTGACGAGAATGAGAGAAATAAAATCCTAACAAGTTGCAGTGACTTTGATGAAGAACAGACGATTGAGACCCTAAAAAGTCACATAGCTTTAGAAGCCAAGCAGCGGATGAAAACCCTAATAAGTTGCTGTGGTTTCGACCAAGAGGGGTGGGAAAGCAAGGACTGGATAACAGTGAGGTCGTCAATGGCGGGAGAACTTCGAGCGCTTCCTTGCCCCTAAGTTTCGGCCACGAAATTTCGGACGACGGGCCGAAACTTTCGGAGTTTGCAGTGACGGCAATTTTCCTGAAAATGCGGTGACGGCAATTTTCGTGAATATGTTTGCTGACGCTCCTTTGGCTTTATGCCTTGGGGCTAAATGCGACAATTTTCTGTTTGGCAGGGGTTTTTATTCATAAACAGAGCCCTCATGTCAAATTCATATGTCCATTTTAGTGTGGCATTTGATATTTATGTTTTCTTTTATCACAGTGAGATACTTAAATTCTTAGTCTAAATTGGAAAGATAAATTTTTGTAGGTTCAGTTACAAGAGTAACCCAAACTGGATGAGTTTATAGTGTTGTTATTGACCATTTATCTAATGAAAACATTGGTTTGAATCTAAGCTTGTTTTTCTTATTTAGCTTTTAATGTAAAATAGGTTTTTCTATTCAACTTTAATGTAAGATGGGTTTTTCATTCTCTCTAATATATAGTAGTTATATATTTCCCCTGTCAACCCATTAGATCTAAACGAACAACTGAGATGATCAAATTACAATGTCATGCATGTACATTGTTTTATTTTTTATTTTTTTTTCAAACCATTTTGACACTAAATTTTGGGCGTCCTTCTCTCTCTAAAACTTTCACTTGAAAATAAATAAATAAATAAATAAAATAAATATATATATATATGAAACAAATATTCCTAATAAAATAAAATAACCGAAATACCTCTGAAAGTTTTAGAAGTATTTTTATTATTTTATTTTATGAAATATATTTTTCTTAGATGTACCCTATTGAGATGATGGTACGTACCAAATTTAATATTTATATAATTTGAAAAATAAAAACTAAAATTAAAATACTCTAAGAAGTTTGATCTAAATCAAATGATCAATGGCTTATTTAATCTAAATTAGACGGCTGGATTGGGGGTATAGCACTTCAATACAGTAGGATAAGTATAGAACCTTTTCCGGAAGAAGAAAGGAAGCCAAACATGTGCATTTCCAATTTTTATTGTTTTCGCCACGTTTTTTTTTTTTTTGTTGTTTTCCCTACTTTCGAGATAAGCTAGCTTAAGTCCAAAAGCATAACGCAAGGGATATGATCCACATTGTTATAATAACAATATGATCATGAGGTACCATAGTCCCATCAATGGATTGGAGGGTGATGAAGAAGAGTTTCAAGTTTCTCCCACTGCCGTCACTATGGCCACACCTTCGATCTCAGTTATTGGGTGATGATAAAGAAAACAAATCGTTATTAAGGCTAGGGTTAATTGGCCCGTGTCCAAACTAGACTAAGTCCTGAATGGGTTTTGAAGTCCAAACTAGACTCGGATAAGTCTATCGAAAATATAGTAGGGGTTTGAAGGACTCCTATTGAATTTATGAACTTTAATGCAAAACTCAGCCAGGTCCTTAAGTGCTCGTTTGTTTGTAGGAGCATTTGGTTTTTCAAAGAAAACGTTCCCGAAAACTGTAGCCGTATGGCTGCAAGAGAATTGCTATAGTAAAAGGAACCAAAATGTTACCACAAACCTATGGGGCTCTAGGTACCCAAACTCTCCGAATGTTTTTGCTGGTTATTACTCTTGGAGATCATTATTCACTATTATTGAATATTTCAATAATATTTAATATATATAATATATAAATAATATGTGATTTTATATTATATTATATTAGATAATATACATTAGTATATTACACGTTCATATTATTAATTTATATTGATATTATATTAC